CAATTTGCGATTCCGCCATTGTCCTTGTACGAGTTTCCTTACACGCGTAATTTTGGTGTTTCAATCACAGCCTCCATGCACAGGAGTGCTTAAATGCGGGTGCTGACGTGATTTCTCTAGTCCTCTCGCATAATGACTATAAGCCTCAATGAATGAATTTCCTCAGTTTCACATTGGGTGGCTTTGAAGCTGCAGAATTACTGCTGGCTTCACAGAATTCGCAAAACAACGATATTCATGTCTAATGTCTTCAATATAAAAGCCTTAAACTTTGTAAGGTGTCACCAAAATTCTGTCCGAGATGTAACGGTGCCCTGCTTTATTTAAACATTTACTGCTGTCGTCCATGTTACAGTTTACGTGGATTTAATTTGAGACCGACTACCCGGTATACACTCGATTTTATCCAAGCACCGCTCAGGTGGATCCAAATAATTAAAGCACGTAGAGTTCCCCAGCTTGGAAAGGCACAAGTGTCGGCAACGAACAGGTGGTGCCAACTACAGAGTTTCGCACGCTGCCAGCTACGTAGGGTGCAGTTTCACAACTTAAATCATTATTACAACTTGATATTTAACAGCCTCGCCTGGCCCAGTTTTCTTAGATTGCTCTACATGTCACTCCTAGATGAACTGCACCAGAGAATGTCTGAGATTGCTCACACTGCATGAAATGCACCTGTATGCATAGAAGTTTGGTTCTCCCGGGAGCTTCAGTAGGGACGATATTCGAGATTTCGCAGCATATGTGAGTAAACTAATGGTGCACACCTGATACAAACTGGAGATCTTTCATATTGAGATAGTTGTCGTCGCGGGAATCAAAATTAGCAGTACGGTAATGCTAAAATCCAGCTCAATATGACTGAAAGGGTAGCCATGGACGCACCATTTTGGGGCTGATAAGGGCGAATTCCGACATTGCCTAATTAACTGAAATGTTTTTTTCCTCAGTAAGTCAGAATGGACGCGCATTATGCAGAGTGCCCCTACGGACATTTTGCCAATGCCTCAATCACCCAAAATGCAGTAATACACGTCGCCTATCAGCGTCACAGATATACAATCTGACTGCTCTGGAGCCATGAATTGGTAAAATTTTAATGCTTCAAGCATGCAGAACTGACCCATATCTACGCGGTGTGCCCAAAACAGGTTTCTCTCATGACGTTCAACATTTCCGACAATAAGTGGCCGTGCTTCTGTAGCCATCATCAGTGACTGCGTTTGGGCCAGCGGTCACACAGACAAGTCTCATCGTAACTCAACTAAAATGGTACTTCACGTGTTCATTTACGATAAACGTTGTATAATATCGGACAACGGATATTCCCCAGATCGTGTTTGTCGAGACATATGTCGACTTGAAACGCGTTCCAAACTGACGTTAGTTTTGCATAAGGTGCACGTCTAGACATACAATTACGTCCCGTGTTCCGAAAACCAAGAGCGCTGGCACATAAATTATTTGTTTCGGGTGCTGAGGTGATTACGCGAGTCCTCTCACATGACCGTGACTCTGAGCTCCAAACGATGGACTCGCTCACCTCCTCACTGTAGAGCTTTGAAGATGAGAAACTGCCTGGTGGTTCTACAGCCCTGACATAACAAGCATGGTCAATTGTGCAATCTAATGTTTGAAAGCACAAGCCTTGTGGTTTGTGAGTGGGTACTAGAAATTTGTCGAAACGCACAATTTGTGAGAAGCCAAGAGGTAACTGTGGACCAATTTCCTTAATGATTTATGGTCGCCGTTCACGATACATATCACGCGTCCCAAGCTAAATTCATGCGAGAATAAATCGACTCTGCTCTTAACATACTGCGCGAAGTGTACATCCTCCATTTCTGTCAAAATGCCGCCTATATTTTTCCAGCTCAATTAGGCTGAGGTAGTGAAGACGGAGGGCTACTTTGGCCATCACAGTTGTATACTCTCATCCACAGAAATTTGGATTTTCACAACATGCTTCTTCTTTATTTCCAATCACAACTTGATATCAAGCAGGTTTTTACGGCTAGATGGTCTCAGCGATTTTCACATCTTTGTGCCGGTGTTCGAGGATAAGTGAGTTTTTTCATCTGTTTCAACACCGCAGTCTGCGATGCCACTTCAGCAGCCACCAAGTTCTCTTCTAGATGGCGATTTTTAGCTCATTGAGGATGCGTCTAGGGATGTAGCTTGTGAATTCCGTTTGATGAGGAACGATTCAGGATGTACAAAGCTAGTAAACTTTGGTCACTGTAAAACCGTTTTCCAATCTATTGCAAAGCATCAGCAGTTCCAATTGGACGTCTATCACGGCGAACAGACGGGCGGGCAATAAGCTTTCGTTGTGACGGGATTGTTTACATTTTCGAAACGGACCACACTATGCTCTTTGCCTGAACAAAACATATCGCCTAATTTTTATGTATTATGACACAACTTCTCTGGTGCTTACAACATATTAAATGTTATTTCTAATATCAGGTTTTTTCAAGCCCATATGGTCGCTGCGATTTGAATAATAAATGGTGACAAATGAGCGGGTAAACAGCAATTCAATCAACAGGAGCACGTGTGATTTGTCACTTGGATTCTTGAGATC